GTAGAAGAACCACTTTGACCTTTATAAAAACCGTTATTTGTATAGTAGCCTCTTCTACTTTCTCCAATAAGTTTTCTGTTTTTGTTGATGTGAAATTCGGTACAAGTGATCGTCGGAGAGAGTTTTTTTGCTAGTTAAATTCAAATACTATCATTATGTTTATACAATTATTTCAATCTTATTATTAATATCTAATCATATTTGTTCATTAGCATCAAGTTTTAATTAGCATAATTAGCATAACTGTAGCTATTACAGTAATGTCCATATGCCACTGAAAAGATCTCTGATTATATTAGATTTACAGATATGCAATGAAGCAAATAAATTACTAGACTTTTTCATTTAGAGTTTATCTTTACTAACACTGCATATAATTATGCACTAACCCCATAAAACTACAAAAGAATATGCTCAGAGGTCGCCTCTAGGCAACATATTGGTCACTGCTTGTGTTAATAATGTTAGAATTAACCTAATCAAATTGAAGTGACAGTTAGTATAACTTTAGTATATGTATTGCATTTTTGTTGAAATATAAGATACTTGAAATAAAAATAATAAAACCTTGAAGTGATAGTACAAAATATTATTTCATAGTTATAATAATTCATAAAGAGTGCAATTTGATTTATTCAGAAAATCAATAGTTCAAAATTTTCCAGAATGATCTTAATTATGTGTAGGCATTTAATTATTGAATAATTTGAGCATAATAAATTACTCAAATTAAATAAAGATGATATAAAATTCGTTCTAAATTAACTTAAGCAAAGAAAGTTTATATACTAATCTTTTTGTCTACATTATTAGCTATCGCGATTAGTAATTTCTTCTCTTCAGCTAAACATACTATTACTATCATGATAACAAAATTCGCGTGATTCTACATTTTGATTCTGATAAAAAAAAACTTATATATGTTATTATTGAGATCTCATCTTATTTCCACTTGCCAATATTAACCAAATATTTCTTTCCTTAATAATGTGTTGATAGATTATTAATTTGAAATTTTGTGCATTATGAATTTCGATCAAATTTTTTGAATCATATATTTGAAATTTTGCTTGGAGTTCACAATATTTAAAATTTGCTTGGGGTTCACAATATATATTTTTGGCATGCTTTAAAAGAAATTGATAAGTAAAAAAAAGGTAAATTTGTAAAGTATGCATATATGCAGATTATATAGATAATGGTAAGAAAAAACCTGTAAATGAATCTTTTAAATTATCAGTGTAGTGGTCTTATCATATTATATTATGATAAAGTACAATAAGACTGATATACTGATAACTTAAAAGATTCATTTACAGGTTTTTCTTACTATCACTATATTAAAGACACTGATGTAGTTTCCCTATACATAATCAAATAAGAGTGAAGTTTACAATTAAGTATTAATTTACGTATTTTAAGAGTTTTTTTCTCTTACTATCTCCTGTATTAAGGATTTTGATGTATTTCCCCATACATAAATTAAATAAGAGTAAGTTAAAATAATTATCAAATTTACACATTTTAAAAGTTTTTTTTTTTAATAAATACAAGCAACTTACTATTTTCTATTTTACACATTCCTTGAGTTATAAAACAATGACAACCATTACACCAAAATCTTTAACAAACGAGGGCTTGAAAACTGCATTTCTTTTTAACGAGTTCATTGAAAACAGTGAGTATGAGTACAAAAGTGCAGATGATGATAATATTTTTGATAATGAGACTACAAGTTATGTATCTAGAAGCTTTGATAGAAACAGTAATCATGATTCTGACAATATTGATACCTTTACTTTGAATAAAGTGAGCTTTGAGAATGTGAGAATTTTTGCTGAAAATAACGAGATTCCTTATGACACTTTTTGGAAGGATGATGATGGTCTCGAAAATAATTTTATATTTTCAACAGAATTAGAATCAACATCAACTATTACACATGATGAAAGTATTATTTTAGAAGACTCACACTTTGTTATTAGTAGAAATACTGTACAATCATTATCATCTTGTGTTATTCTGGATATTATAAATAGTCAATTTCAACAATGCTGTGCTGTAACATTAAACCAACAACCTTTAACACAACTTATTGGTACATGGGAAATTGATAAAAAAACATTTGAAAATGCAAAAAGTAATAATCAACTCTACAACTTGGGAGTGTGTTCATTACACTTCTCCTATGATGCTGCCAAACTTCATTTGTCACAAGCTAAGAAAGAATAGTCAATTGAAAAAAGTTGGGTTTATATTAGGTGTTGTCTTTTCTGTAATAAATTTAAAGCTTTTTTTAGTCGTGGAAAAACTGTATACAACATTCAGTATATATAGTTGGCAAAAATATCCAGGTACCTTGTTCTAATCTTAAAGTTTGTCCTGTTTTTAATATGGAGAATATTCAAAATACAATTCTCAGTAAGTCAAATAATGAAAATCATACCCAGTACATATGTTCTTCATGTTTTAATAAAAATGGTGGTCATTTTTATAAGTAGACTGGAAGTAAAAAAAATCGTAGTTTTTCTTGTGAAGAAAAGCATATAAATAATAATACTGAAGCTCTTAAAATATTTGGAAATTGGATCTTACAAATTGCTACTACAGATAATGAAGAAACAAAAAGAGAATTATTAGCCTAGTTATCTACCATACTTATAATGTTTAACAAAGAAGTAAACTGTTCCATGAACCCTATAAATCCCTTTTTTCTCAAAACAATACTTAAAATTGGCAAGTAGATCTTTCTGAAATTTTTAATGAATGTTTCAAGTTTACTTTTGAAATTTCAGAAAAAGTAGGTGAACAATTAAATGCTGTGATTTGGAGTTCTCGATCCCTTATTCGTCAGAACAAATCTAAACTTGAATTTCCAATATCATTAGAAGAATATTATAATGTGTTTCCATTATTTTTAACTTCATTTTTTACATTATTAATAGTATATTTGCATATGAAAAAGTATAATGCTAATAATAAAAAAAAAAAGAGTCGTAATTTGCCAATTTCTATCTTTGATAAATCTCATGCAATAAAAATTTCGATATTTCTTACTTCAATGATTATAAATATTGCTTTACCTGCTACAAATCTATGGCTTAATTATGTTTTAAGTTCGCTTAGTCGTAAGCCCAAAATGATATCTTCTTTATATGCAATTCTTTATATGTCAAATGTTATTTCTTATAGTCAACATTATGAATGTTAGTTAGAAAAAATTAGGTTAAGTGAGACAAAACCAGAAAATAGATTAATTAGAGAAAATAATGTATGAAATATTTCAGTTATAGATAATATCAATTTTCTTGAAAAAACATTTATGTATGGCAATATATATGATAGTATTCGAAATACATTTTATGCTACTATAAAAATGGTTTTTTAATTTAGTCTTCCGAATTCAGTTCAGATGATTACTTTTCTAAGTTCTGATAATGATGATGTGATAAAACCCTTATTCAATGAGTTCCAATTTACTAATAACTTATTAAATATTTATGAAAATATTTTTGTCAAACTTCTAGAAAATAAATTAAGTAATTGGGATGTTGAAGACGTATTGAAAGAGATTAAAAAAAATATATCATCTGGATGTAAAGTAACACCTCCAAATGTAGTTATTTTGAAGTCCAGAGACAATCCTAATTGTGATGCAAATGTGCATCAAGCTTGTGCAATGTATTTTGATGATGTCAGATTAGAAAATACTAATCATATTGATGTAGCTTGTGACGAGGCTTTATTTAGGCATTTAATATCTTACAAAGATAACTATCTACAAGTTAGATTACTATTGGGACAATAGCATACATCAAAGGATATGTGTAGTGCTCTAATCACAATTTTTTCAGGTTATGGTATTTTTAGTTTAGCTGCTAGATTAGGTGTACTTTATCTTAATAAGTTAGAAAAAGTTGTTAATTATTCTGCAACTTGTAAGGTATTAGAACTAATTTAGGTTGCAGTCGAATATGCTCTTGTTCAATATACTCATAAGCAAGAAGAGTCTTTGCAAAATATTAAACATGGGACTAATAAAATAGTTAAGGTATGGTATTATTATTTCTGTTAGGGAGCCTATTGGTTAGGTTATAAAGTTGGAATTAGAAAAGGCAATTTCGATATGCAATTTAGAAATCTTGCTGCTTTTTCATCTCTTTTTCTCGTGACGAGAAAAAGTAATTATGCAAGATCTGTTACTTATTTTCTATCTTATGTTGAGCAAGTTTTTGAGTTTCAAAGACTACTTAGACAAGTATGTTTAGTAAACATTATATGTGAAGATCATTTTATAGAGTTTGATGAAGCGTTGGAAAGGTTTGGTGTCTAATTTATTAAACAAAACATTAGTGACAAGTGACTAACAAATGAGGAACTGAAATTGCAAGTATCATCTATTCAAGTAGAAAGAGAAAGATAGAGTTACTAATTTCTGAATATATTAGTAATAAACTTTATATTAAAAAGAAAAGAACTATAAAATCTAGAAAAGATTCTCTTTGGAAACTTATATCCGATTTAGTAGATGCATTTTCTCAGCCTGATTTATCTTCACATGAACTTTTTTTACATATTAAAGAAATTAATGAAGCTGGTTTTTAGCATCTATTTTTATGCTATGATTTGGGTATTAATCATCTTAATATAATTTTAAAACAGAATGTGCATAAAACCAAAATTCGAAATGTAAAAGGTTGTTGAGCTTATAATATAATATTATACAAATGGCAAAATTTACAGACAATGAACAATTCTAAAACTAAGCAACAATCTAAAACCAAGCAACCTTCTAAAATCAGTGTTAATAATGAACAAAATACTGTAAAACTACTACGTTACAAGTGTCAAACTACTGAAAAAAAAAAATACTCAAAAATATTCTTTCTGATGAAGTTTTTCCTAATGATAAACTTCCAGAAATTCTTTCTCAACTTCAAACTAAGTCTACTGAATGGACAGAATCACGTGTCAAAATTTATTAACGAAATAATCAGTCAAAAGAGATAGAAAAAAAAATTTTTAAATTCTTGTAATATTGATTAAACTATTAATTATAATTAAATTTAACGATTTTAAATTTAATTATAATTTTTTTTTTTTTTTTTATATGCGAATTAGCATTCTTTTTATTAGAATTTAATTATAATTAAACTATTGAGTTTAATACTTTAAATTTCTTTATACCATTTACATTGTATTACATATGCAATAAATAGAGATATTGTTATCATAATCATTAAACTTTCAAAAAGGACTAATAATGCTTACAAATTTTTTTTAAAAAAATAAATCTTCTATATAATATATTATTGTTGAAAATCTACAAAATCTTATAATACTATTAACACATTAGCATTTCTAATAATGTTCCTATTTATTGTGTTTTTTTTTGAATTGTTTTCAATTTGTAATTGGTTAGATTTAAATTTGAATATTCAGTTTTTTAAAGTTATAAATTCATATTTATTCAATTGTCATTCGCTAATTATATTTAAAATTACTCCATGCAAACTCTTATTAAATGATTAATAAAATGCTTCAGATAATTATAACAGATATTTGTATGGTCAAATATAACTTTAAAGCACTGGGTTAAATTTAAGCATATATTAAGATAATAGATAAACTATGGTTATAAATCTTTACTAAGAGTGTAGGTCTAATTCGGATTGTGTTCATGACAAAATATAAGTATTATTGTGTAAATGAGTAGTGAAAAACACTTGTAAGAGATATTTGTTTTTCTGTTATTCATAAAATTTACTTCATCTGATTCAATTTCTATTGAGAAACCAATACAGACTTATGTCTTTTATAATTACATTTATTTTACTAAATCAGAATCATGTAAAACAAATAAGTAACTATGAGTTAGACAGGTCTTAAAGCGAATACAAGATATATTGTTAAGTAGGTTAGAAAAATTCAGTCTATATTAAATAATTTCTTTTCATATGAAAAATAAAATATATGAGAAGACTACTAATTAAGGAATATAGTGAATTTATTTAATTATATTGGTAATTCTTGACAGTTTGTTCATAAACCATTAAATATCAGTAAAATTCAAATATCAACAGGCTAATTTAATAATTTCTTGTTCCCTATCTTCAGGAAATAAAATGTTAAAAGCAGTTAGAAATATTCAATAGGTAATAAATAATCTTTATTCTCTAGTAATAGAAAATATGAGTGTTATTTGTAACTGATACATTTCATATATTTTGCTACTTTTGCAATAATCAATAACGATAATAATTATTTTCATTATCGATGGAAATCAAGTCTTGCAGCCAATCAAAATTCGAATTTAACTTTGTCGATAATTTTAAACATGATTTTCAAAAAAAGATACTTCAAAGGTTTTTGGCCTAAGAGTACAAAAAAATAGATAAAATTAGAGTACGAAAGAGTAAAAAGTTTTTATTATAAGTAAGAAAGACTAGTCAAATTGTAAAATATGAATATTAGATTAGGAGGAAAGTTCGTCATTTTTTATAAAACATATAAATCATCGAATAATTTCATATGTGCTGCAGCTTGCAGATCCCTTAATTAAATCATTACCCCTAAAATTTTCAGACATTACACTTGACCGATAGTGATAGAGTAGATTAATTGAATGGTTTGCCTTTTATCATTATATTAAAAGAAAATAATATATATTCGATTTATATGTATTTATATACATAGTATTTATATTTATATATATACCGATACTGTATGTTAAACATAATTTTATCTAAGTCATAAACAACCCCACAGAGCAGCAGAAAATCGGTGGCCCTAATCTACAAAAATCAACCAATCAGATGAATGTCTTAACCCTGAGAAAAATGATGAGTAGAAATTGCTCAAGACTATAATTAAACTGCACAATAGGAAAAATGATTTTACTAGATTATCATAATGTTGTCATCGAAGAAACATTAAAGCAGCCCATCGTAGGGTAAGTCCTAAAGTTATGAAGAGGCTGGTAACAGCCCTATATAACAAAAAATGGTTGATAAAATATTTTGTCTTGCAGTCTTGAACCCACCGCATTGGATATGACAGCGGTCGATTTTGACGGTGTTTCTTACCGTATTTCGACGCCACAATCAAAGAATATAATCAAATTTTCAATGCTAATGCAATGCTTCAACGAACTTGTCCAATGGGGGGCTCAGGATATGTTGCATAAAGAATATGGCACTTATATTCTACCAGAGATCGAAAGTGGGTATGATTTTAGTTTAGAGTTTGATTTACAGAAATTGCCTGAGGACAAAGGTTGGTACTATTCCAATTCATGGTCATGCAGGAATTATTCAATAAAAAAGATCTTTCAAATTTATGAGTTTATGATAGGTTTTACTTATTTAACCATAATGACTATTTGTTTTTTAGAGGAAAGAGAAGCACTTGTGAAAAAAGTATCTTTAATCAAACGTAATCTTTTGGCCCAACCCTTTGAACGGGCTTTTGAGCAGCAAGCTCAATATGAAGCTGAAGAGCAAACCAACCCCACACCTATTCTCATGCAAATTCACTATAGAGATCAAGAAACTATTTATATTCAAGCACTATATGATAGAGTTACCGTAATCTTTTCCACATTATTTAAGGAAGAAACAGATAGAATATTTGGAAGAGTGTTTTTGCAGGTAAATAGAAAATCCAAGCACATGCTGTATTGTGTGATATTTCAAGACCGGCTGCACCTAATGTAGATACGTTCCCAATAAAAATATTTATCAGGAATTCGTTGATGCTCGTCGTCGACCAGCAATTCAAAAGGCTCCACAAGTCCTTTATTCTAGTAAAGACCCTCCATTGGAAATTAGACATTTGTCTGAATCACAAACCGAGGATATTGGCTATGTCACTTTTGGTAAAGTTTCTCCTACTTTGCATTACAGATTTAAATATAATGACTGTATTAATAAATGGATGTATAGTCTTGTTCCCTCGCCATTTTGTCAAGGGCGAAGTGCGAGAAAAAACGATTTCCCAAATCCAGCTATTTCGTGATTATCTTCATTATCACATCAAGTGTTCTAAAGCTTACATGCATTCAAGAATGCGCGCACGCGTACAGGCATTCCTGAAAGTATTAAATAGAGCCAAACCTGAATCACCTGCTGCAGAGAAAAAGACGATCACGTTAGTCACATCTTTTTTACTTACCTCTGTCGATGCAGTTAAATGTTTTATTAAGCTTTTGTCTTTTTTTGACTTAAATACAGTGGAAAGACTCTTATAAGAGCTTGATTATATCACTATTCAATTTGAAAATTATAATGCATACCTGTAATTTAAGAAGTATATCATGTATTTTTTTCGTAAAAAAAAAAAAAATTTATCCTGGTCATCCACTTGCAGCAATCAGAATATGAAAATATTATAAATTTTCTTTTTGGCACATTATCGGTTTTGACAACCAATTTATGCGCCCTGCCAATAACATATCCGCCTAAATAACAAAGATTAATTAATTAGTATTAAAAAAAGCGAGTATGTTCTTGGTTTTGGTGCATGAAATTGGCTGTTAAAATTTGTAATAATAGCAATAATACAGAATCAATTCGAATAACTTAGAATGAAAGGCCTTATTGACTAATATGACATTTATTACACGAAATCTTTGCTAGAAAACTGACGAGGCTATTATTCACATGATCAGATATTCCATACATGTAGTTGAGTGCAAAAATGTTATTTATATATCACTAAGATTTTAGGTTATTATAATTCTATAATTTCTTTGAGAGCTCTTGATTTTCGAAAATTTAAATTATGTACTGCAAATCGTAGTCAGATTTGTTACATTATACCAATTAAAAACCTAGATAGATTATATTTATGAAAAGGATAAAAAGTTTTAATCATATGGGCTGTCATCAATAGAAATCAGGCAGATTTACAATTTTTTGAAAAAAAAAATTGTCTTAAATTTCATGACCAATATCTTGATGAATTTTAAAGTTGTTCTCATGATTTAATAGTCAAAAGAAAGCTTAGATCTTAGGCTTTCTTTTGACTATTAAATCATGGGAATAACCTCAAATTCATATAGATATGAGCAGTGAAAGTTAAGGCGTTAATTTTTTTTAAAAATGTCAATCTACCTGATTTCTATTGACGGCAAAGAAAATGTCAAACTAAAATATAGAGTTAATACGTATTTAAGAGAGTTATAATTTATCGCAGGTGTGGTGCACCGCCGGAGTGTAACTTAAGCGATCTACTGGAATTTTTTTTTAATATTTATGCTAATTTAACCAAGCCTATAATTTAACACAGGTTGAATAAAGCCATATCGGCATGTATGTAGTTAGACAAAAATTGGTAGAATATTGGTACCCAATATTCTACTGATATTTCTTTTAAAAAATCAGCGAAATATCATGTTAACTGATAGTTTTATTGGAATAGTAATATTAGTTTGATAGGTCTTTACAGGTTTTGCATACAAATTGACAGTCAAATTCGTACATAACACTTTTAATTAAATTGCAATATCTTGTGACCTAGTAATTTAAATTCGTAAATTTGGTGCCATTTGATTCATCTAATTTTGACAAATCAAATAGTATCAAATTTATATAATTTAAGTTACTAGGTTATGTGATATTATGTTGATTTAATTAAGTGTTATGAATTTGATTGTCAATTTGTATTAATTTGATTGTTAGTTTATATGAATTTGATTATCAGTTTGTACAAAGCTGGTATGCAAACCTATAAAATATTAGAAAATTTTTTAAAAATATAAGTATTATATATTTAGAAAATTATATTAGAATTATTATATTAGATTAAAATCAAAAACAAATTAGAATTAAATATATTTAGATTTTTTTTTTGGTGTTAAGATAAGGTCTTGCTTATATTTTTATTAGTAATTTTAGTTATACATATTAATATACTATATATTAAAGATATACTAAGATTGTAAAATACAAAATAAAAACTACATACAAGAATTAAAGCTAAGACAACTTTATCTGCAACCTAAACTGACTATGATGGTCAAGGCTTACTTAGATTTGTAATGTTAAAATATGATTATAAGATATGTTATGATTAATCCAAAGCATTGACCATATATTGATTTTCATAATAACTTGTTCAATTAGTGAATAAGTATTAGAACATAAGTGTAATTGATTTGCTATTCCACATAGACATGAGTATGTATAGTTTGTATATAATCTTTTGTAATGTTTAGTTTGTTGTATTTATTGTAAAATATTGTGAATATTACAAGTTTGAAGAGATGTAATATTGTTATTTTTTTCTAGTTAAAGAAGTCAATGTAGTATAGTTTTCATATTTGGTTATAAATTTGATCATTAATATTAAGAAGTATTTGAATAATGATTTGTAAAGCTATCTTAGTTGGTATATTGTAATTATGAATTGTTTTGATTAAGGTTTTGGGTATAAGGCCTTTAAGAATAAAATCAAAGTAGAAAGAGTTTGTTTAAAATAGTATTCAGTTAAATAAAAGATGTTTTTGAATTTTTTGAATAAGTTTATAAAGCTAATCAGTAAATAAATCAAGATCTGCTTTAGATAAAATATGTTGAGTTAATGAATTAATAATATTTGTAATAAGAAAAGAATTAAGACAAGTTAGCTAGTATAAATGGGAGTCAGAAAAATTATATCTGAAGTAGTTAGTATTTATAAAGATAGTTGAATATATGTTGTGAAAAAAAAAATATATTAGTAATTTATTTAGTAGAACTTTGATTTTAAAGATTTTGAATTGGTTAAGTTTGAAACTAGTAAAGTTAGATGAGAGTTTTTAGTTATAATTAAGGTATAGCTATGTTGATTGCCAGTCTATGTAATGATTAATATAAGACCATTCATTGTTTCTTTTTTATAAGGACCACATTGTCAATATGTGAGCTTTACAAATATTTTTGATAAAGTATCAGGTAAGAAGCTCAACAGAATTTTATTCTCATTGTAAAATATAAAAAGGATTATAAATATTTGTATATTAAAAGTTTAAAAACAGAAAAAAGATATGTTGTTTTGCTAAAGAGTTAGCCATGTTATTGAAGATATTATCTGTATAAACTTGAACTTTGTGAAAGTTAATATTTAAATTAAAAGATTTAATAATATTAAGAAGTGTATGTCATAAAGGCTATGTATAAAATTTAAAGAGTTTATTAGAGTTATTGAGTTGTGAAAAGAGTTTGTAGTATTTAGATATGACTGATTGTAAATCAGTATAGATTTGAAGTGTTGCATTGTGAAGTATAGTTGAGATTGCAGATAAAATAGAAAAGAGCTCTGCCTTATAAGCTAATGGTCAAAGATAGATTTTAGCTAAAAATTTATAAAGGACTTGGTTGTTACTATCAATTTGGATCCATCCAATGCCCATTAAACTTTGTTCAGTTTCAATATTAGATACTGATTCATTAGTATAAAAAGTAAATTTCTTATATGACAAGTTGTTTTGAAAATTTTCTTTAAGTTTGTTTAAGCAGTCATTAGGTTTAAAGAGTTCTGTAATAATAGAGTTTAATATATTGATAGTAGGATAGTTATATAGGATTCATAAAGAATATTTAATTGCTATTAAATAAATAAGGTCTAGATAGTTAGTATTAAGTTTAAGTTTAAAAGTTTTTCTTCCTAGAAGCTAGTACAGATAGTTGCTGAAATGTTAATTGTACATATTTGCTTAATTCTGTTTAAGTTAAGATAGCATCTAGTATATGATATGCAGTTTAGGTCTAAAAGAAAATAATAGTAATTATGTTCTAAGCTAATATTTGTATTTAATGTAAGATGAAGAACTGGTTTGTGTTTGGAAAATATTTGTAAATTTTGCCAATAATGATCTCTTTATTATCATTATTGTAAGTAAATAGCTAAGGTTTAAGTTTTTTCTTGATTAGTAAAATATTATATACAAAAGCATTAACTCTCAAAGGTTGAAAATAAAGAAGAGGTGTGGGTCCCATAGCTTAGCAGTTAAGCTCCCATACCTTCCATAGTCAAGGTCAATGGTTCAAGTCTGGCTGAAGGCAAAATTAAAAAGATTTTAGCTTCTGTAACCTAATAAGGAGCCTGTAATTGAATGCGAAGCTCTGTAGTTAAGTCCAAGTGCAATATAATGATAGAAATAGGAATTTCCGAAAGAAGACCTAATCATGGAGTGCAGGCATTATGCATAACAAGCGGTTGTTACAGAAGGTTACATTTATGAAAAGATTGTGCATATAAGTTTTTTAGGTTAGGGCAGCACCAACATTCTTATACCTTCTAATATAGGCAGTACCAACATCTCTGCATCCAACTTGTGGAGTACTTGCTTAGAAGAATAATCAACAGATTGTGCAAATAAGTCTTAATTAGGATTCAAGAAAAGAATTTGATTGAAAGAATATTTTGAAAATAATCAAGACTGCAATGATAAGAGAAATAGTGAATATGAGGATGAACTGTGATAAAGGATTGGTTTAACCAAAAATTGAAAGCACTTCTGGCACAGTTGAATAATCTAATTATAGAAGAGAAAAATCTTGAAGGTTGGTATATAACTTTCTTGTGCAATGTAAAAGTACCAAATTGGGTTCCTAGTCATATCTATATAAAAGTCTATGATGAACAAGACTGGAATCAACTAACCAATATGAAATAAGATCTGCAAGATAGTATGGCATCACTGAGGTTGGTGTAACTCCTTGAAGCATAACCAGAATTGTCTTGCAAGTATTATCAAATAAGCTAGAAGCTTGCTATATATAGTAGTATAGTATCACTAAGGTCAAAGGAACTCCCTAGGTATAATCAGAATTGTCCTATTTGTAAGCACAACAAGTCTTAGTCTCTATCATAGAAGGAAGCACCATGTTGAAGGTTAAATGCAGTATCAAGTTACTGTATAATGTTAAGACCTAGGGCATCTGCAAAAATGGCAGCAGCAGTTCTGGCTTGAGATACAGATTGGTCAAAAACCAATGGCAGCAGCAGATCTGGCTTGAGATACAGGTTCTTTG